GGTCACGGCCGCCACGCAGACCCTGCGCCCAGGCCGTCGCCGGGGGGCCTTTGGGATCTTTGGCGGGGGCCGCTCCTAGGCTAGGGTCGTAGAAATACGGCACAATGTTGAATGCAATGATTGTAATACAACATAATGCAGCAAAGCATAACATCATATTCTACAATTTAATGTATAGCATTGTATTGGGGCTTTGGCAGGGAGTTTCACGCACCTCAGGGTGCCGGAAGTTTGAGAGCTGTGGGCGCTGAGATCGTTGCTTACGATTTTCAGAACTGGGCTCCGTGGCTTTGCGACTTGCGAGGCCTCTCGTGAAGCAGCGCATCTGGTGGTAAAATTTGGCTTGCTTTGGGGATTAGGGTTCTGGTGCCGTAGCGGAAGAGGTACAGGGACACCAAGTCCGGCAATGCTGCCATGAAAGCCATCTCGAACCCACGCCCTAGACCCTAAACCCTAACCTTAAGCCGCCTAAACCCCAAAACCTCAACTCCAACCCAAAAACCAAAAGCCCAAGCCCCATTCAGATTGCCGCGAGTCCCTCTCCCTGCGCCTCTTCGAGGTGCCATACAAATTTACGCTGCTCTCTTTTGGTTGCATCTTCGATGCTTAAATATTAGGGCTTAGGGCTTAAGGATTATTTATCGGGTTTAGGGTTCTCCGTTCTAAACCCTAAACCGCTAAACCCTAAACCCTCAAACTCTAAAGCGCTCAAGCCCTCAGTTCTTTGCTGAGCTTGAGAGGAGAGGTTTCGGGGTGGGTTTGACATTCGCGGGTGCAGTTGATCGTGACTCTGCCAAGGCATTCTAGTACATATCATTGCATGTTACAGTACATTACGTTTAGAATATCAGTATGTCATAGTATATGAAAGTATATCACAGTATATTCTAGCATATTGTAGTATAACTACGTTGACCCCCCGACATACCATGAACCCTTCGACGCTGCGATAGACAGGGCTCCCAAGCGTTGCGCTTCTCGACATCCCCAAGATCCTCCGCTTCCGCTTCACACCGCTCCCCACGGTCTTTGGAGCCCGTTTTGGCACAGGGTGCGCAGTTTCTTACAGTGTGTAGTGATTCTAGTCTATGAGAGTAAATTGTAGTATACGAGAACTATAGTGATAGTATATTAGAGTATATCATCGTATCTTATCTTATCGTATATTTAGAGTGTATGAGAGTATATTACGGGATATTGTAGTTCTTGTATGCTGCGGATCAGGAGCCGAAGCCCAAATAGCTTCATTTGTGTGGAAAACAGACCCTAAATCCTCAACCAAACCCGTCCCCAAATCCTTAAACCCTGAACCCTTAAACCCTCAAGCCCCAAGCACGAAACTTGACAGGCTGCCAGCGCGCAGTGGCCGGACTTGCAGCAAGGAGGCGCTGTGCAGCTCAACGTGGAGACGTTGAGCTTCATCTGAGCACGAGTCCAGCGGAGGGTCGTATTCAAGCTCAAGGAGTGTGGTAGGTGGCTCTTGTGTATGTCCTGGGTCACTGCTTCTTTTTCAATCTCGACGGTCATGCAGGACTGCCTTAAAAGACCTATTCTCACTCCTTCGCTTGAACACTCCTTCGCTTAAAACTGACTTGAAACTGTATAACTCGCCGGAGCGGTTCACGTTCCTGGCTGTGCGAGGCACCGAGACAAAAGAAGCGGTGTCTAACTCTCCAGCCTAATGTAGAGGCCTGAATAATCATCAGTATCAGTAGTCCTTTTCGCTTGCTCGTCAAGGCTATAGTATATGATATATGATATATGATATATATATATATATATGATATGATATAGGACAAGAGACATACTATATGAGATATATAATACATAAGCTCCTTGTCAGGTCTCTTTTGCTTGCAGCAGGGACTTTGCGAGTCTGCTCGCCGAGTGGCTGATTTCCTCTGTCCACTTGTCGCCTGGGCGCTCCGCAGTCTCTTGCCGTTTCACCTCTTGAATTCATTGTGATTTCGCTACGTTCTCGACAGGACTCTGCGGCGCCTGGAAACAAGCTATTCGTATTCAAGTTCCTTGTTACTGATATTAGTGCAGTAAGTTAGAGTATGTCCCAAAACCCCATCTCATTAGGAGGCCAATATATGAGAAAAGGGTAATATACCCCAGAAGCCCATTCTAATCTTTCCCCTAAACCCTTATTTTGGTGTCCTCCTCGGCTCCCTGGCCCTGTCAAATCTCCAGACCCCGCCTCGCAGCCGCAAGCTCTCCCGGTGTAGTGCCGATTTCATCCTGCACGTGCAAGTTCTGACGCCCGAAAGACTCAGGAAAGGATCATAGGGTTCGGCTTTCGCAGGTCTATGCTTGGATTCTGCAGATAAGGGCTTGCTGCTTTCATGTGCACATTGCTTGGCCCATGAGTCACCCTTAAGCCTAGTTCCTAAACCTTGTTGGTCGCGATGTTCTGATGGAGTGCCTCCGGAGCCCACCACGTCCGGCTCCAAGCGTCTGCAGACATGGAATGCACCGTTCTTGGGGTTGCGGGCGCCTGGGTTGTGAAGCGCAGAAAGTGTGTAGGAGTCCTGCTTGGGTTCTTTCAGTCCGAACTGGTTCCAAATTGTCTGGATTACTAGAGCATCGAGGCATTCATTGCACATCCAGCTTTTCATGTATCACGTCGTTTTGAAGGTTTGTTACACCCATGTAGCTGCTCGCAACAATGCATAAAATAAGCACTCCTCATCTTCTCGGTCACTGAGCCCGAAAGCCCTCAACCGTAGAGCACATGCCACAGGCCAGAAACGATTCCGGACAATCCCGTTGAAATGACAGATGCAGCTCAGGCAAGACAAGGCTATGCGTGTGTCAGCAGAAAGAAACGGCTGAATATGGAATCAAAAAAAGAAATCAAGCCATAAATATACATATATATATATATATAAAATAAGGGAGAAATAAATCAATACATGAACAGATAGACACATAAACACACATCAATAAATGCATGAATACATAAATAGGTGAACACAGCAACAAGTAAGTAAGTTACTAACTAACTAATGAAATACATAGACAGACAACACAAGTATAAAAATGAGCAGTGAAACTTAGCAAAGCTAATATGCAAGTACATACACATATTCACACATACAGGCATTTGTTCTATACTATACAATTGAAGCGACACCGGAAATACTCGATCGATTTCGGTAGTTTCACCCGGGACATGTTACAACCCAGAGACTCCAATATCCCTTAATTAAGGAATATACCTTGAATTATAGTAGGATCCCTACTATGATTTAAGGTACATTCCTTGATTAAGGGATATTGGAGTTTCTGAGAATGTCGGAATCGCAAGGTCTTACCGACACGGCGGAAGCAGGTCTAGCCCCCTCAGCACCACCGCCAAGTGCGCGGTTGCTGTGTCTCCTGGGAGGCGGTGTAGGGTCTAGGATCTATAGGGTTTAGGGTTTAGGAGCTAAGCTCTGCCAAGGGTCCACGGTAAATCCGAACTGGAGGTGTCGGGGTTAGGGGTTTAGGGTCGGGGCTGTTAGAGAATGGGGTTTGCTGCGGTGCAGAAATAGTGCATGGAACCCACGGAGGTTTCGTCAACCCTAAACCCTAAACCCTAAACCCTAAACCCTAAACCCTAAACTCTAAACCCTAAACCCAAAGCCATAGACACTGGAAGGCCTCTAAAGAGGAAGCCCTTAACACTACACCCCTAAACCCCTAGGCCCTAGACCCCAAGCCCTAAACCCTAGACCCTAAACCCTAAACCCTAAACCCTAAACCCTAAACCCTAAACCCTAAACCCTTTAAGGTGTAGTATAGGGGCTACAATAGGCAGAAGGTTGGTTATGGTAAATATTATAACCATAGGCTAGGATGATTGTTGATTGAAGGACACCGACAAATCCTAAAGGCTACACACAGTGTTCCTTAGAATTCCTCAGTATACATATATCAAATTATAGTATGCCCTTACAAACCCCAGTCTACTTGCTGAAGCCCGCATGTTATGGGTAAGCCCTAGACCCTAAACCTAGGTTCATCAGTGAAGAGCTCCAGGGCTTTGCAGTTGAATGGCTTGAGCAATGAGGCTGAGAAGATGTTACGAGTCGAACCCTAAAACCTAAACCCCGCAAGCTGACCTCGCCTCAACTTCCGGGTTTGTAGGCTTTAGGTTGAAGATGTACCGAAAAGCTTGCAGAGGGCTCGGACCCTAGATCCTAAATCCCCAAGTCCCTAAGCCCAAAACCCAAAACCCTAAAACCCCTAAACCCAAAGCCGCCATGTCGCTGCGATGTGCTCTGCTCGCCGAGATGCTGGCGGGGGCCACCTCGACGCAGGAGGCCTGGCTTCAGAAGATCTGATGAAGCTCGGCATTCCGACCGCGGACGCCGAGGTGATGGTGCGGAACCCTTGCGACTTAGTTTGGCAGAACTTCCAGTGCGATGGGCAGGGCCAAATCACGGGGCTTGCATTTACCGGAATGCCTTCTCAAGGGCAAATTCCCGCCGAACTTGCTCAGCTCCAGCACCTCACCTGATTAAGGAAGCCTGGGCCTTTATCGCGGGTCTTTATACGAATTCTAAGCTTTTGATGTTACAAAACCCTAAAACCTAAACCCTAAACCTTAAATCCGAAATCCTAAACCCTAAACCCTAAAACCTAAACCCTTAATCAGGTTCCTGCAGTATATTCATCTCCACGGCAACAGGAGATCCCCCCGGAGCTCGGCGAGCTCCAGAACCTGCAGGAGCTTCCCAGTTGCAGAGGAGGTCGTCTTCGACCCCCGGGACTCCAATATCCCTTAATTAAGGAATATACCTTAAATCATATTAGGGATCCTAGTATAATTTAAGGTATATTCCTTAACTCAGGGATATTGGAGTCTTTGACCTTTTTGGCTATTATTTATAGCAATGCCATCGTCGAAGGGGTTGTTCTGAAGGCAAAACCTGACTCTTCAGTGTTTGTAGAATCCTACCATACTTGAAGAGCTTCGCCTTTTTCCTCTCCAAATTTCTTCCTCCTCCGAGGCTCTGGCTCAGTCATAACCGTTTGACCGGCGAACTTCCTGCGGAGCTGGGCCGGCTCCGGGAGCTCCTCGTGCTCGACGTTTCCAAGAATCGGCTCTCGGGCGAACTTCCCGGAGAGCTGGGTCGGATCGAAGGGCTGAGAGTGCTGGATGTCTCCCGAAATCAGCTGACGGATAAAAAATCCCCCAGGAGGTGGGCCAACTGCAGCGGCTACGCATACTCTTGTTGCAGAAGAACTTTCTTCAGCAGCTTCCGCCCGTCATAGACATGCCGGCATTGGAGGTGTTGGATGCCAGCAGCAACTCTTTGACTGGGGAGCTTGGACTCGGGATGCTTCGATCCATCGATCATCTCGAACGCCTGGACTTGAGCCACAACTTGCTGACGGGGAGCATCTCCGCTTTCGTCAGTGGCTTCTGTGCCTGGCGGTCGGGGTTCTCCGGCGGAATGCTGAAGGAGTTGCGGCTGAACCACAATCGGTTCACTGGGGAGATTCCCTCATGCTTGCTGCAGCTTCAAGACTTGGAGTTTCTAACCTTGAAGCTTTACTGCTCCTAGGAACTATGTTTCATGTTTCTTATAGCTCTTAGGAATTATGTTCTAGGTTTCTTATAGGTCTTAGGAATTATGCCTTCGGTTTCTTATAGCCCTTAGAGATTACGTTTTATGTTTCGTATAATATAGCTCCACGGGGTCAAGAAGAGCTTTTTTTCATTCTGGTTCTAAGGGCGGCTAAGGAACGGCAATAAGCTTCATGGCGCTTTGCCGGAGATTACAGCTTCGCAACTCACAGTGCTGGCTCTTCACAGAAATGCCCTCACAGGTGTGCTTCCTCAAAGCTTCTGGGCGCTTGCTACGGAAGTTCTTGTACCCGACTGGCTACTAGTTACCTAAACTTTAATTATCGAAAGAAAGGATCCTAGGCTTGCATTAGGATCTTCAATGAGGTCCCTTTTAAGAGAGCCAAGAGTAGGGTTCAGAAGGGGTACCCTTTAAGGGGTACCCCTAATAATACTACCTATTGTGTTAACTTAGACTCAGTTCTCTAAAGAAGAGGAGCCTAGGCTTGCAACACCTGAGCCGTTTGGGCATCCTCACTCTCCACGACAACAACATCGGAGGCCGGATTCTTGGTGTTCTTCTGGTTGGCTCTTAGGACTTTAACTTTTTGGGTTTCTATATGAACTATATTAAGGATGCTAGAAGTTTAACTTTTGGGAGGGGTTCAGAAGTCAGCCAAGGATTGGCCGCCTCAACTTAAACACTGCGTGCTTGGACAACTCGAGGTTCAGTGGCAAACCACCATTGCAGGCCTTAAGGCAGAGAGTGTGTTCTCCGAGTTGAGCGTGGTTGCATGCTGGTGCGCCATGCAGTTGCTCTTCCGAAGCCTGATCCTTGGCATCCGCAGGAAGGCCCGACCAGCCGAGGGTCTTGCACAGCGGAAGATGGCACGGGCTGCCGCGTGGCTTCTTTGGATCTGCATCGTCAGCATCCTGTCTCTGCCATCGGTCTTCTTCACCTTTGCTCAGTCGGTTCCGGCACAGAATGTGTGGGATCTCGATGACGGCACGTTGAAGCTGTTCCACGCGACAGCACCGGTGCAGGCAGTTCTGATTGACATGGTGCTGGCCTGGCCGGTTTCAACCACCTTTTCTAGCCTGACGGGAATCATGCCTGATAGGCTACTGATGACCTTCCGACTTTTTTCAGCATGGCTCTTGGCGGTATTGACGACATTATCCTTGGACGAGAACTGCTACGGAGGCTGGAAGCTTGCGTGGAAAGTTTGCCAGGAGGGATCGGAGGAACACGAGAAGTTCACGTGGAAGATCTTCGAGGAGGAGATCTTGAACACGCAGAGGGACATCTGCGGCTTCAGCAGCGCTTTCTGGTTTGAAGACCGATGCAGCCGTGCTATCGTTGGTGGCTTGACGCCCTTTTGGCTCAAGAAGCTTCCGGTCGAAAGTAATATAGAATTGAAAACCCTGTTTTGAGGGTTCCTTATTTAATTGTCAGAATATAAGAGATAAGACACACCAAAACCCTGTTGTAAGCATGCCCCCATACCCCTTTCGAAGGAACCCTAAGCCCTAAACCCTAAACCCTAAACCCTGAATCCTAAACCCTAAACCCTACACCCTAAACCCTAAGACCCTAAACCCGAGGATCTTCTTTCAAAGGAACCCTTACGAGGCTCCTCGTCCGAAGTACGATGCGGTTTAGGGTTTAGGGTTTAGGGTTTAGGGTTTAGGGAGCCCCTGCTCCTCTGGCTGGTCTGGCACCTCTCTCGCTTGGAGCCCGAGGGGGAAGATCCGGCAAAAGGCTGGGTTTAGGGTTTGGGGTTCAGGGTTTAGGGTTTAGGGTTCAGGGTTTAGGGTTTAGGGTTCAGGGTTTAGGGTTTTGGGTTCAGGGTTTAGGATTTATAGGACTAGGGGTTTGGTTGTGGTCAAGGAGGTTACTATAAGTCATCATAGTAATTAAGGAAGCCATATCAGTTGCTACTACAGATCACTATCATGGTATCTCCCTAAACCTGAAATCCTAAGCCCCACTATGGTTAATTAACTTAAGACCCTAAACCCCAAACCCTAAACCCTAAACCCTAAACCCTAAGCCCCAAACCCTAAACCCTAAACCCTAAACCCTAAGCCCCAAACCCAAATCCCTACAAGTTCCTTAACAAGAGCCCGGAAAGGCCGTCATCGGAAGCTGCTGGGCATCTGGCCCAAGACTACCGGATCGCTTTTGCCCTTGCGACGGATGGCGCTCTTGACCACACAGATGCCGGGTTCTTGTTAAGGAACTTATTTTTCAGACACCAGGATAGGGATCTATAGTAAATAGTATGGTTTCCTTGTCGTGGTAACTTGAACTAATCTCCTTAGCAAGAACCCAGGATGGAAATCTTGTTTTTTTGGTCTCCGCTGTCACCCCTGCTTTGCATTGCAATCTTGACAGCTGCTGCGACCAATCTGCTGATGTTTAACTTGGGCATCGATTCGTTCGGAGTTTGCCTCCCATCCGACGAGATTAACGAAGGGGCGGCAATGTCAAGCTCGTATCTGAGCTTGACGCTCTGGGCTGGGTCATTCTTCCAGCTCTGGCATGCCTTCAGCGCAGGTATGGCTGGACGCTCTGCCTTGCTGGCCTTTACGGTTGCCGTGATGGGTCCCTGGGCGAAGCGCTTTCTGCCAGTGCGCACGGTAAAGCAGACTTTCTGGCCGGGTGCCCCCGAAACAGGCGAGGCCGAACAGGCCGAAGTTCGGGAGTTTCCGAAAAAACAAGGGGTACCTCATTTTGGGGTCCTTATAAGAAGGGTCCTACTATTTAGGGTACTATATTAGGGTCCCCTATTTTCGGAAACTCCCAGGTGGTCGTGGAGATGATGCAGGCAGAGAGGCACGCAGAGGCATCGCATTCAGCACAAGACACAGGATGCGACCCTGACACCACACAGGGGCTTCCGGGGAAAAAATCGCTGCCAGTGATCGTTGCTGCACCCATTTCGTTTCTGCGCGGACTTTGCGCGGTATTCGGCATTGCCATTTTGCCCATAAGGATTTTGGTGGCCTGGTTTTGTGTAGATAAGCATGGAGGATCTTCAACATGTGCACGTGCTGAGCGGAAGCTAGTTGGGCAGTGGATTGTCGTGGAGATTACAGCCGTGACGCCGAAAACCTAAACATCAGCCACTACAAATAACGTCCGAAATCCCAAGTTTCGAAGTCCTAAACCTTCCTAGCGGTCCTAGCGGTTTAGGCTTTAGGGTTCAGGGATCAGGGCCTCCAGCCTTTAGGCCCTAAGCCCGAGGAAGACGCCAAGCCTGGAAGATGTCTGGGCCGTGGAAATCAGACTTCCGAGTTTCCGAAGTAACCTATATCTCTCCGAGTAGGCAACCTGTAATTTCTATCCTAGGTTTCTCTTTTCTGGCCAGGGTTTAGGGCCTAGGGTTTAGGGTTTAGGGCTTCTCAATGCGCCAGGTCGCTTGTGAAAGATGCTTGAAGAGCACCCCGGGTGCAGACCGCTGGTGCGCAAAAGATCGGGCCAAGCTATGTGCAGGGCCCGAGCGGATTTGGTTTCAGGCTGAGGGGTCTAATGTAGGGGCCGAAATTATACTATTCTGGGGGTTCCGTATGATGACTATACTATAAAAGAGTCAGAAACCCTGTTCTAATTGTTCTAATTATTAAGGCCCCTACATTCGAGTGCAGGGTTTAGGCTTCGTGCATTTGGGTTTGTTGTTGGGGGGCTTCAGCGGCTTGGGGTTAGTATAAGTTAGTGATGATCATTTCCATTTTCTAATCATGCACCCCCCCTTTTCACCCAATTATAACAACCTATACCTCAATCCTAACACCCCGAAAGACCCATATGTAGTACC